TCCTTGCTTCGGGGAAGCTTCTAACCTGTGATGTCTTCAGTCGTCTGTTATTTGATCACGTTATCCCTTATCAAATTTAGATGTTTATTTCTCCACTCTTATTTTGTTTCATTATTATTTGTTTCCATCGAATTCTTTTAATAATTGAGCTTAGCTTACAATATTAGTCTTATTTTGCTTAGTAACCTACTTATCGGATGATCCGATTACATAACCTCCTAGTGTTAAGTCCCTCTACTTAGATTGTTACCCTTGTCGTTATTTTTATTCAAGAAACTTCTATTAGATTGTGTGTATAATCGTGACAATTTGTTACCATTTATTGACCTTCCTTGCATTCACCATTATGGTTGACGTTTACTCTATGAATATTTCTGACCGATTTAATCACTGACCGAATCCGTATAGCAACCCGTATGCCAACACCGGCCCATCATTTCGGTCGAATAAACAACGAAAGTTTACAAGATATAACACGAAAACTGGATTAAAATATTGTTAAATTTCTAGTAAAACAATTTATTCTGAAATTCTATGTTGTAAGCTGTTGACAAGATACTACCGAAATAAAAATGTATCCCTTTTATCCTGTCCTCATTTTTTTTATCTTTCTATCCAAATTAACTTTTTCTTCAATTACATCTAGGTATATGTATTGATTGGTCATGGGAGTGCAACCAATTTCATGTTGTCTAGTGCTGGGTGTAGACCGAATTCTATTGATCATGTTTGCAATGTGGCAACCAAGCTGGGAAGCTCAGCATCGCGGTGCACATTAGTAGATGTTAGTTGGTTGAAGGCAATCGGCAATAAAGCTCTGGACCTAGGTTTCGTGCTTTTTGGCACTCGTCAGCAAGGCGTATCTGCAACCTCGACGGAACAGATGTCCCACCTGAGATTCGAACTGGCGTCACCCGTCGAGGTTGCACGGCTTACTGCCGATTGCCTCCAACCAACTAACATCTAGGTGTAACTAAGGAAAGTTACAATAGTATCGACAATTTGTAGCTGAGGATGAATGAAACTATTTAAAGACACAGATTTCAGTTTGCGACTGTTTCATCATCAAACTGTATCCCAGTTATTGAAGTAATACAGTTTGGATTTTGGAAGGGATCGGATGATTTCATGGTGGTATTCAGTTATGAACTGACACCCTGTGGGGTCGTGGATTCTTACTGCTGAGGAGTCCCATACTACGACAAAATAGCTGTCCAGTGCTCCCAGGTTTCCTTTGTCCCTCCAACTGATATCAGTCTACGATGAATAACAACTTGAAACATTTACATATCCCTACAACTCCCTCAAAATAAATTCATTAGCAATTGTAAGAGAAAAATAGTTAATGGTGGCAACACACTTAATAGTGATGATAATGGCAGCACAGGGAAGATAATTTGAAACCTCTGCGGTGTTGTCTTACAAAGAAGGTCCCTCGGAGAAATTACGTATGATTCTCAATAAGTCTGGGGATTATACTGACATATCAACCAATAAACTAACTTAGAGACAAGTTTTGTAGGTTAAGGGAATTTCATAACCCAAATAGGCAAAATAATCTAGTGTACCAAATCCCTTGCAATGATCGTGAGGTCAAATGTATTGATTAAAGTAGTCAACTAAGGTCAATGAGTTAACCCCACACAGTACATTTCCAATAGTCTGATCTCATATTCCCCTATCAATTCAATCTATCCAAAACCGAAGAATGGGAGGATGAATAGAACAACTATCATAATATAGGATTAAAATTTACTAAGGCGAAACGGAAAGAATGATATATTTCATCCTAATCTTGGTAACAAAACAAAGTTTATCAAGCGAGATATGGTATGAAAACAATTTCTTTTTGCACACACAAAGGTGTTTCGGCTTTGCTCCTGTCTATACCCTAAGTCAGTCTCTGTTGTGCAGATTGTATAAATACTTTTATAAGTCTTTAAATTAAAGCTAATGTTTCCCAATGTCACTTATCCTATTCTGTACACTTTTCTAACATGTATAAAAACAGTTTGTTTATATGCAATGCTCATTTTCTTAAGGATATGATTTTGTACTCTGTGTTATCGACTGCGTGGAAATCTACAGTGACTCATTCCTGCCTTGTTCTGCTCTACGACCACTTCCGATAGATAGATTGTTTTTGTGACATTTTACAGGAAAACTCAGCTCCTCTTTCCAAATGCATAAACAATCTCCTCAACAAGGGTGACTCAAGTATCATCATAGTCACGTCATTCGACTATTCAACTCGTGTTGTAGTAATTGGGCTCAGTACCATTGTTTTCAAGAAATCTTGTTTCTGAATTTATTTTACTATGTTAATTTACTTTCTAACTAAATCTCTATTTCTATGGACTTTTTCTTCCCTTACTATTCACATTGGTGGTTATATAAAATAGAGACCTAGCATTCAGTAATAATTATTTCTCGACCTACTGCATAATATGGGACCTCGAATTCTGTGACTGGTTTCTATAATATGTACAGCCATAGACAAAGAGGATTATCCCCTACCTTCTTTATGAGTTTCAAATTCCAACTGTTTATGTAGCTATTAAGACACATGGTTCTCCATTCTCAATTGTATCCCTTGATTACTCCTCTCCATATATGTGTGTCTATACACATATGTAAACTGGTAAATAAAGGCAGATATGACCTATGCAGATGCTTAAGTTTATAATAAACCGTGTGCCTTATCTTTTCCATATTCATAAGCTCAGTTGCAAAGTGTTTTGTCAATAGCAGATGTCAGCCTCCATCTCAAAATCACACCATTCAACTTCTCACTGTATGGTAGAGCTATATTGAACGCTTCTCTGATGAACCGCATATTGAAATCGGCTTTGGTGTTAGATAAACTCTACACCATACCCAGCTTGATAAAATTTGTTTTATTACCAAGATTAAGATGGAATATATCATTCTTTCCACTTTGCCTTAGCAAATTTTAATCCGGTATTATGAGAATCGTTCTATTCGTCCTCCCATTCTTCGGTTTTGGATCAACTGAATTGACAGTTGAATGTGAGATCAGAATGTCAGAAATGTACTGAGCAAATGCCTCACATTATTCAGATAAACTTATCTTCCCATAACATGATCCAAATTCATAAAACGGACTAGTTGGTAAGCTCTAATAACATAAGGAATCTAGTCAAAGGAATAGCCTTTCTATAACTATACATGCATTTATATATAAACTTGCAACATAAGAAGAGAGTAATAGTTATGAAAACTATCTTAATCGGTGAAGGAAGAGATTGATTGCTTAATCTTTCCTTATCAAACCAAAAAATGCATGCAACAGGAGTAACTCGCATTCACGGAGTCCTGCAACACCCACATTTGCTAGCCGGACACACCACCTGTTGACCTTTCCGCTTCTTCCAACTAGTTCCAGAGGAACTGAACAGCAAACGGTATGGCAGCTGCTTGAATGACACACATAACACATGTCCAAGCCTATATTTTAGGACAGTCACACTCAATAAATAAAGATCTCCATCACATCCAGACACACGCCGCTTCACCTCAGCATCGGACATCCTCAGTTCGAAGAGGCCAGGTTTCCCAGGCTTGCAGCAAAACAGTCTGAGGAAAGGTTAACGTCATGATGGCGTGATAGGTGATCCAGATTAGTGTGTGCCATTCTTGTTTTCGACGTAAGCTTGGAAATCTCATCAGTCACACCTCCATTAGTACTCAGACAAATATCTAGATACACAAACTTTTCGACTACTTCCAACGGTTTGTCATTAAGCGTAAGTACAACCTTGCAGAAGCGCTTTTTATTTTTACGGAGGGAAGTAAATATCATGCTTACGGGGAGTAGTCGTGAGTGGTCTGTGTGTTGTCATACGATACAATGATATCGTTCACATACTACAGGCGGAATAATCCTTCACTTGGCAACATGTTTACACAACCATTTGCCAGAAAAAGCCTGCTTGATAGAAATGCTTTGTAACTCATTTATTCATTCAATAATAAACAAATAATCTTGTAGCGTCACACACTTCTCCAGAATCATTCAGTAGCCTAGAGTTCAACATTCATGCTGACCTCCATAGTTTGATCAAACTCCCTAAGCTCAAGGCACACGATCAATCATCCACACCATGCTGTCATGTTACATTGCACTGCTCGTAATCGACCCTCTAGTCAGTTAGTTGGAGCACATCGGTATCTTGCTTGGCATGACCTCGTAAATATACTATTCCATCCGACTGACTACGCTATTATGTTCTTTCTTGGTCTCGTATTCATGGATATATAACAAGTACGAATAAATAGTGATTGGCCTCTGCGCCTGTCAAGTTCACACCAGGACAATTCCTAAAATCTGTTCAGTAGTCAATTTCTATCGGCTTCGTTAAACAGAAAAGCGAAAAGTCAAAGTAATAGCATTTTGTATAGGTTTCAGCTATCCTTGTTTTGCTTTCTGACACAATAATATGGTCCCAGCTCATTCACATTCTTATACTATTACAGGATGATAAACTTATTGTGACTTTATTACATACTGATTAGAAAAATCTGCATGAAGGGTAAAAACAGTCTTGTTCTTCAGATCCAAATCATGCCTTAATGTCGTACCAGCCAGGTTTGAAACAATTGTATGAAAGACTTAACCCTTAAACATTGTAGATAAAACTGTTCGGAAGAACAGATTTGTTGGTGGTCTAGACATGTCACTTTCCTTTTATGTGATGCCACGTTCCTACTCGTATAACGTCCAATTCGGTCCCTTTTGTCCTATGTAAACATAAATGAGATATGAGTCATCAAATACAGAAAAGCTCAAGGTCGAGTTACACCAATCTCTGCTCTTCGTAAATGAAACTAGGCTGCACGTGAAGAATAAATTTCAGCTTATTATTTCTGCATTGGTTGGATAGTCACGCATGAATGTTTTAGACCAATTAAATACGCCACACTGGAAAGTGACCTATAAAGTAAACTGTTTATTTTCAAAGTTTAGTAATCCTTCACACATTAACGATCGGGCTTAGTCCGTGTGAGTGACCTTTTTTTTTGTTTGCATTGGTGATAGGCAAAAGTTTTGCGGTGATTTTAGTCAACTGATTCTTGGCTGCATCAATCCATTTCACAATCTACAAACTTTTCATTGAAATCGCAAAGATTATTATTTATCGAGACTAGGTATGTTGCAAATAACCGGGTGTAAAGACTAGATTTTATGTAGCAGTAAATATTTGCATTTTGAGTTTTCATCTTCAATCAGGTTTATTGCTCTCTGAGCTTCATAACAAATCACCACTGGTTTCAAAATTAATGTTTAGCAATGCCTAAGGTCGGAAAGTAGTTAAAGTGAAAATATAGGATTTTAGCGTCCTTGAATGACTACCAAATGACCTTGAACGAGCCAAATGTAAAACGGCCATTTCTAGTTTTTAATACAGAAATGAAAGAAGTTACAGCAGATATAGTTTTTTAACGATATTTAGGGAATGATTGGTTTTCTCGGCTAATTTTTCTGTCTAAATACGATAAAGGCATTCATCCATGTGACTGCTTGAAAATATACCACCTGAAATATGATGCAGAAGCAAATAAGCCTCCAAAAAGTACTCTATCGTCTCTAAATTATTTGTATTTAAGAATTAGAGTTCGAGAATTTCAAAAAGACTTTCGAGCCATAAAGATACTTGAAAATTCAATTAAGAAGTAGCCAAAAGATAGCATCAGAGCTTGGATGTTTGTTTGCTACTTTTTGACAATATGTACTACGAACTTGGAATTGAGTGTCAGAGCTTAAGCAGTTGTGATTAGGCTTCAGGGTGTGCAACCTAATCGTAAAATGTACTTTAGTGTGAACTTCTTGTCTGTTATTTTTCCCTTAGTAAGAAATGCAACCACATGAAGGAACCCTCAGAATTAGCGAACAGATAGACCATAATATAGGGAATAATCTTGTTTAGTGTTCAATCAAAACTGAGCATAAACCTATCTATAGTCTGTGACATTCTTACAGTAATGAAAAGCTTCTCAGCACGACCACACAGTCGCGTTCAACTTGATTAGCCACTACAAGATCCTTTGGCAGTCACTCAGGGATGGTTGTTACAACTAGTCTCATTCAGCTATATGAACCTATTTTGATATTGATTCCTGTTCTGAAAGGCTTAGTCTGTTCATCTTCGCTTATTTCTCGGTCACGGTTTCTGACTATTGTAGAGTGAGTATGAACTCCGTAGCAAGTTTTGGGCAGCTAGAATGTATTACTAGTCTATACAATAGTTATGACTATGTCTAGAAGGAGCATCTGAACCAGTTTGCCTTAACTGCCTAGCATTGTAGGTGTCAGTTGTATTAGGATTCGTGTCTTTGTCAAGTTTATGTAATTCTTCTTTTACTTCTATTTTACATGTCAGCTTCAGCTTAGTTATTTCGTTACCTATTTTCAAACTGTGTCTCTGGAAATCGTATAGATTAAATTATCGTAATGCATAGACCTTTGCACAATTTTGATTCATAATTACACATGTTATGCTTTGTAATTTAGTCTTCACCTCAACTTCCTTCCGTTACGGTTTATAATTTATTGTTGTTGGTAATTGTCCTGCAACGCACCAATTGTTATAGCCGCTAACCGATGCACGAATATCTACTATCAACCACCAACGACCTACAATTCCCTAGATAATTTCCTGACCCTACTAATTGGCAAAGAAACGCTGAGAAGTGTAGAAAAACAGGATGATTTTAAAGGTCACTCTAGATACGATTGAAATAGCCAACCAGGTTAGTTCATTTCGGTTGGAAAGGCAGATTTTAGTAAAATACAGCAGTCTGATTAATTATTTCACTTGTTGCTATGGTGGTCTTTAAAGTCTACTCGGAAAAAAATTCCAGACCGAAGATCCGAAAGTGTAGCGCGAGTTACAAAAAATGTACAAGGGCCCAAAAGCGTAGGTGGCTTGATCATTATGTCACGAATGAGAACGAAAATAGATGTGTAAAGAACATGTTTGACTGTCTGTTCGTCTAACTAAGGTGGTAATTTTCACAAGGTAAATTTTGATTGGTCCATTATCAGACAAGTTCGGAATGGCACTAAAGACCATCTTAACGACGACTGAAATAACCAATTAAACTCCTGGATTTTACGAAAATCTGCCTTTCCAGCCTAAATAAAGTAGTCTAATTGGTTGACTATCTGAGTAGTCCGTGGTTCGACAGACTCCTGTCATTGATCTTAAGTGAGGAGTGAAAGTGAAAGGAGAATCTGGGTGGTTGCAGGATTTGAACCAAGGGCATCTGGGTTACTAACCGGCTGAACTACGATACCCTAGTTGCTAGAGGACCGGACCGGTAACGCATAGGCCATTGGTTCATTAACATTTGTTTTTTCTTTTCCTATTTATCATTTTGTAAGACGAATAAGGGAGGAAATGTCCGGTTACAATTTACTGGATTTTAACGTTTCATAAAACTGTATGGGGGAAGGCATGATTTGAAGTACATGACTGATAAAACTCAACTTTCCAACATTCAGTGGTGATTTTGCACCTAAGGTTAACAAGTTCATTTCGCCTTTTAGTAGTGTATGAAGTGGACCTCCTCTTCCAAAAAAAACAGACAATTAATCCCTTGCAAAAATAATATAAGGGAACAATTGTTTTCAATAATCTTTCTCTTCAGCCTCTATAGTTACAAATCCATGGGAATAGGTGAAACATAATAGCCAAAGTAGGGCATAATGTGAAATTATTTCAATCTCGAAACAGTTAATGTGTGAATGAAGATCAAATCAAATGGATGTAAGTTTTTTATCAGGTAGAATAGTAACCACTCTAGTGTAAATTGCTTGTTGGCACTAGCTAGCAAGGTGTATCTGCAACCTCGAAAGGACTGATGTCTTGTCTAAAATTCGAATCTGTGCTGCCCAGTTTTATTTAGTCAATGATGTTACTACGGAGCTATTTAGGCCGTGACTCCCATCCCATGGGATTGGATCAGATAGACTGATTGATCATTAGAGAGTAATCAATTTCATATTATCTCTTCCTAAGGGTTCTAACCAAATTCTATTTAATCCACTCTTGTGTCGGTTGTGCCCGAGGTGGCCAGACTAAAACATGGCACCAATGTATGAAGTCTCTGACTGTTGGTCTAAGCCATGTAGGACGATGCAGACTAGGTGGTTGGGGTCCGCGGGACAAGAGGAATCAGTGGTTGGAGACCCTAGGTGATATGGCTCAGAACCGAAGTCAGTGGCGCAGATGTATACACACATTATCCTCATCTTAACAACGCTATACCGAATCTCACTATTTTGTCACTCCTCTTTCCTTTCTTCTCGTACTTTATATTTCTTTTGACTGCATTCACTTATCTTCATCCTTCACCTCACTACCTTTTACTTGATGTGCTGATATGAGGTGTGGCAACTCGGACCGTTACGCAGTAATGCCTGGTCCTATGTTGATAATGATGAATGATGATGATGATGTTCAATAAAGTCATTACGGACAAAACAACTGATGTCAGTCCATAATGAATACTACTTCTAAATTAAAAATTCCCATTCATCTCAAAAATACAATACTGTATAATGCTAATTAGTGACTTGCTTCTAGAAGGATATCACGAAGTTCTAATGAGAAGCCGTGACCTGTGAGGTCAACCAGTTGGAAGGAAAACGGATACTGACTGAAGACCTTGAATGATAGTCGTGCTGTATCGTGAACTGACAGAAGTTGGAAACTGTGAAGCATTGAACTCAGACCCAGTGACCGAATGGTTAACGCGTTTGCCGTAAAACATGAAGGTCCTGAGTTCGACCCCCAGAAGGGTGATGGGTATGTACAGCTGAGGACTCCCATAGTAGAACGAAACAGCTGCCCACTGCTCCCAGGTTTTCAATGGTTTCCTAATTAGTCAGTCTATGATAAATATTACCTCTAAATTAAAATCCCTATTCATCTCAAAGAAACAATTATGGTATAAGGCGACAAAATCTAGAGTTAATGATTCGGTCAAAAGAGGTCAAAATGACAGTGATGATCAGAAAAGTGTTAACGCCAAAAAGTTAATGATATAATAACCTTGGCTTCAAAGCTGAATTCATTAAGGAAGGTTTAACGTGAAACCAAATTGTTTTTGAACACTTGAAGGTAACTTGAGCCTCCTAATGACTAATGCCTCAAAAAAACAATGATAATGATCCACTTATATGCATGTAGGAAATGACTCTGTGTTTGTGTGTTAAATAAACAAATAATCAGTACATAGTGATGAGCTGTATTCATATAGGGTGGGAGATTATTAACACCCAGACCAAAGTTGTTATGACCGTCCTAGAAGTAGATCAACAACTCCGATTTAATCACTATAAGAAAATATTTTCATTTAATCCCGGTGTTCTAATTATAGTAAAGATGGATAGTGGCTAGCAGTGGAATCCAGGATGCGCATTTCGTCCTATTTGGGGCTCGTCAGGTGGATGTACCTGTCTCCCAGTGAGTAATGTTGTTCCCACCGGGATTCCGACTATCATCAGAACACAGGTAATATCGAGGCTTCTGCACAGGAGCCCATATTCCAATAGAGACCGATCAATTCGGTCCAATCAACGACGGTGTTTAAAAAATCAAAACAGTATACTTCCGGACGTTTCGCTGTGTAAGCCATGGCTTCTTCAGCAGAATATAGGGATTTTTATAAACGTCAAAATATATACATCGTTATAAGGTGTCTTTTTATTTCTGTAATCCTGGCGTAGTACATCTGAAGAAATAACAAAATAAACAAATAATATTTCTTATCATCCCTCAACGTTTCGATCTTGCTAGGAAGATACTTTACAAGAGCATGTATCTGACATACAGTTTTCAGGTTAACATTTAAGTTTCGGTGACCTTTACGATCATCCAGTTACATCGTGACACCGAACTAAGATCAATGTAATACAGGTGAGGAAACGGACAAATCGGTCAGAGGCTTTTTCTCGTTACGTAAATAAGATAGAACAACAAAAATGGGGTGGAAAAATTTAGTTTGACTAAGAAAAGTACAATGGGGTTGTGAGTCATCAGGTGTGAGAGAGAATGAGTGACTATGATGGCTACCTTAGCATCAACTGAAATCAACAATTAGACTTCTCTATTTCAAGAAAATCTTCCTTTCCAGCTGAAATG